ACAACCCTATAGTTGAGATTCTTGCATTGCAAGGCGGTTGGAGGACTAGATCAGGCATAGGCAAACTCCCGCCCTCCAGATGTTTGGGACTACAATTCCTAATAGGACCAGTGGTCAGGGATGATGGGAATTGTAGTACCAAAACATCTGGAAGGCTGGAGTTTGCCTATGCCTGCTTTAGACGATCCTTGGTGTCCCTTCCACCTCTACAATTCTGCGGGTCTATCGATGACTCTACGGTGGATGAGGAGCCTTGATATGCTGAAGATCAAACCTGGGGCTTCCGGGGCTCTGCCGCGGATTTTAGGGTGTGAAGCTCCCATGAGCCACTGTCCCACCCCTAAAAACCTATCTAAAAACTGCTGGGTCGGGGCAATGGGCCATCTGTGTTCTCACAGTGGTCCACCAATGCCCAACAGCTTTCTCCTCTCCTGTGCTTTCCAGCAACTGGTATTCATAGAACCACAGAATTGTAACGTGGGAAGGGACACCAAGGGTCATCAAGTCCAACCCGCTGCATTGCAGGAAGCGTCTTCAGAAGCACTGGTGCCTCCAGCCATAGAGGCAGAGCAGAGCCCTCTTGGCTAATAGCCACCGATAGCCCTCTCCTCCTCCATGAATTTGTGGGAACCTCTCCTGAAAGCTACGCAGGTTGGAGGCATCACTGCCTCCTGTCGCAAGGAGTTCCATTGGTTATCATCACACTGCAGGAAGAAACTTTTTCTTTCATCTGTCTGGAATCTTCCGATTTTTAGCTTCCTTGGATGTCCACGAGTTCTACTGTCAGGAGACTGGAAGAAAAACTTTGTATGGATGGATGGGGCGGGGGGGGGGCTTCCTTTTTTCAGAGGCCACTGGAGGGAGGGGGAATCGCTTCTTGCTTTGCAGGGTTGGGATCCCATTCCTTTTTTAAAAAATAATAATAATTTTTTCTTAAATTCATTTTTCTTTTTCATTCATTACATACATCTCAAATTCTTAACATATACTATATATTCCTCTCTCCCTCCCCTCCAAAGCTTCCCCCAACTTCCGCTTCTGGTTTGTTTCTATTTTCACCCACTTTGCTATCTCTCAACAGAAAAAGTTATTAATAACATAACATCAAACCTAAAAACATAAAGATAAAAGTGAATACACCAGCCTATTTCACTATCTTCTAAACATTTTCTGATGCTGATAACGTGAATGTTTATTTTAATCCTGCCATCAAGTCTATTGACTTTCTTTGTTTCTGCAAATATACTGTAATTTGAATGGTTCCCAATCTTTTTCAAAGTCTCTGTTGTCCTTTTCTCTTAATCTATCTGTCATTTTTACCAGTTCTGCATAGTTTATCAACTTCTCTTGCCCTTGGTCTTTAGTTGGTATTTCTCCGGTCTTCCATTTTTGTACAATCAATTGCTGCTGTAGTGGCATACATAAAGTCCTTATTTCTTTTGGTATGTCTTGACCTAAAATACCTAATAAAAAGGCTTCTGTATTTTTTTTTACAAAAGTTATTTTTTAAACATTTTCTTCAATTCATTGTATATCATTTCCCAGTAGGATTTTACCTTCTTACAGTCCCACCACATATGATAGAACGTACCTTCTGCTTCACATCTCCAACACTCTTTCTTTTCGTTTTTATACATGTTTGCCAATTTAACCGGTGATAAATACCATCTGTGCATCATTTTCATGACAACATTCCATTCCTAACAACAACAACAATAATTTATTATTTATACCCCGACCATCTGGCTGGGAACTCTGACAATCATAGCTCTGCGAGGGAAGATTCTCCTAACAACTCTTTGGACCTTTAACAAAAATTTGTACTGCATGAATGTGGCTGAGCCAATGAGGCAGCTCGCCAGAGTTTCAGGAAGGAGTTTAGGAGACAAGAGATAAAATCTAGAAAGGCTAGAAAAGCTCAAAAGTTTTGTCTGAGCAACTTTTCTCTCTCGTTCTTGTGCGCCATACATTTAAATCCGTGTTCCCCAAACTTGGGTCGCCAGCTGTTTTTTTAAGACTACAACTCCCATCATTCCTAGCTAGCAGGACCAGCGGTCAGGGATGGTGGGAATTGTAGTCCAAAAGCAGCTGAAGATCCAAGTTTGGGAAACCCCGGTTTAATCATGGGAACTGTAGTTTTCTAAGGGTGCTGGGGTTTGCAGTTCTGTGCGGCTTAAACAACAGTTCATGGGATTCCTTTTTGGTGCTTTTGTTTGTTTGTTTTGTTTTATAATATTTATTCAAGTTTAACAACTACAGAAAAAAGAAAAACAAGCAATAAAAAATTACAATAAAAAGGAAGAAAGAAAAAATACTAGAAAAAAGAAGGGGGGAAGAAAAACATTTTAGAAACAAAAACATTATTAAAAAAGGGGGGAAAAGGGGGGGAAAACCCTATTTTCATAACCTTAACTTTCATTTACTTATTTCCTTGACTTCCTCACACCTCCCTCTTTGTATTCCAGTTCTGTTAGTTGTCAGCGAGTTCTTTCCCTCCTTCACTGATCTAGTTCCATAATTCCTCTTAACACAGTTGAACTTCAAATTTTACGCCTTTACCTATAATCATTCTATTCTTACTTAATTCTTAATAACGTTTCTACTAAAGCCGATTACGTAATTTCTTTCCAACAACCTTCTAACATTCATTAATTTTACAATTACAATTTTACAATTTTTGGGTGCTTTAAACGTCCTGCTTTTTTTTTTTTATATGGCATTGGGCTGCTTCTTTTACACACACACACACACACACACACACGCGCGCGCGCGCGCGCGCGCGCGCAACTCAAGGCAACGCGCTCCTCTACGAGCAAACTTGCGGGGTGCGGGGGGGGGGGATTCAGCAGTCTAAAGGTTAACGCGAGAGAGTCGTCCTTCCTAGAGAGGCGCCTCAGAAGAAAGAGGAAGGCCCACTTCCTGCCCGCGCCACCCCCACCCCTCCTGCCACCATTCCCCTGGCAAAAGAGCATCTGGTGAGTGCAAAAGGGCCTCTCCGGGAAGGGGAGATTCCCCAGGGTGGGAAATAGCTCCGAGGAGAGCAGGGGGCGGCATTGCATTCTTGCAATTGCATTGCACTGTTGCAATTGCACTGCACGGTTGCAGTGCAGTGAATTGCATTGTTGCAATGCATTGCATTGCAGCGTTGCAATACGTTGCATTGTTGCAATGCAATGCATTGCAGAGGAGTGGGCTTTGGTCGGGTCCCGTGGGGAGAAAAGCCCAAGGCAGCTAGAAGGAGGCAGACAGGGATCTCCTGCACCACCCCTCTTTTTTCAGTCCCTACAAAGGGAGACGCGGGGGGGGGGCACCTCCAGGCTGTCACTATTGGGGGTGGGGGCAGGGATTCAAACGCATACGGGATCTACAGGTTTGCACAACTGTCGCCAAAGGCACACTATTAATATAAATCAGGGGTCAGCAAACTCTTTCGGCAGGGGGCTGGTCCACTGTCCCTCAGACCTTGTGGGGCCGGACTCAATTTTGGGGAGAAAAATGAACGAATTTCTATGCCCCATAAATAATCCAGAGATGCATTTTAAATAAAAGGACACATTCTAGTCATGTCAAAACACGCTGGTTCCCCGACCGTCCGCGGGCCGGATTTAGAAGGCGATTGGGCCGGATCCGGCCCCCGGGCCTTAGCTTGCCTGCCCATGATATAAATTAAAAGCCAGACTTTTTGGACCTTCTCCAGACGGTCTCCTTTGTTGATCCCTAAACCTGATTTACTTCGCTTTGCGGAAAGCTTGCACGGTGCTTGAAGCAATTCCCCCCACTTCGTTTTGCTTGCAGAGCTCAAACCTTCTCACGTTGTTATTATTATTTTTATGATTAGTTATGAATTTTGTATACCACCCGTTTCCTGAAAATCGCAGGGCGGTTGACAACATAAAAATACAAAACGAGAACACAAAAGACAGAGAATAACCCATAACCCTCCTCCCGCAAAGACAGTTACAAATTGCAAAAAGGAGAAAATAAAAATGTAATAAACCCGGCCCCCCCAAGGCGACGGAATGCTTGAATCCGCATTTAATTGAGCAAATCTCTGTTTCCTGCTGTGTAAATTTGAAAAGAGGAAGCCATCACACTGTATATTTAAAGCTTCTCGCAGGGAGGGAACTGCCAGAAGGCTTTCTGAGCTGGATCTCAGTGTCCGGGCTGTACAATGGGGGTGGAGACGCTCCTTCAGGTATGCAGTGGTACCTCGGGTTAAGTACTGAATTCGTTCCGGAGGTCCGTTCTTAACCTGAAGCACCACTTTAGCTAATGGGGCCTCCTGCTGCCGCCACACAATTTCTGTTATCATCCTGAAGCAAATTTCTTAACCTGAAGCACTATTTCTGGGTTAGCAGAGTCTGTAACCTGAAGCGTATGTAACCCGAGGTACCACTGTATCTTTCCTTTCCTTTATAATGCACAGTCTCAAATTAACTTAATCATTTTCGTACATGCAAACACAATATCATTTCCACCTTTTATTTACAAGAATCACTCTAGTTCTGCCAGGAGATTCTTATTCTTACAATAGTTTTTTAGGTATACTTTAAATATTCTCCATTCTTTATATGCACTCTGTTTCGATTGATCTCTTACTCTCCCTGTCATCTTGGCTAGCTGGAGATATTCTATCATTAGGGCTTGCCACTCTGCTATCGTAGGTATTGCTTTTTTTGTATACTTGGTTATGAAGCCCAAGACCTTCATAATGGGTTGTTTTCACTGGGGACAGACAACAAAGGCTTCGAGATGAAACTCCCCCAGTTGTTGACTTGCATACTTGATCTTCTGAATTCTCAAATAATGTGTGTGGGTTTTCTCCTTTGGTTTATAAATGATTCCAAATAGCTCTGGTTTCGAAATGGAAATCATTTTTTGAGCAAGCAAATGCCACTTTGTGGGCAAATTTTCCAGTATTTACTAGACGGTATTGCTTCATTTTTCCAATTTCTTGCCACTAATATTCTGGCTGCCGTTGTTGCATACATCAACAATGTTTCACAATTTTCTCAATGGAATTTGCCGCCTGCCCATTGCGCCTTGGTTCTCAAACGTTGAGGAAGTCGAAACTTCCAGACAGGATTCCGTTCGACAACTGAGGTAATAATAGTAATAATAGTAATACAGTCATACCTCATGTTACGTTTGCTTCAGGTTGTGCGTTTCAGGTTGTGTCCCGTGGTGACCCGGAAGTAATGGAACGGGTTACTTCTGGGTTTCGCCACTCACGCATGCGCAGATGCGCAAAATGACGTCACGCGCATGCACAGAAGCGGCGAATCGCGACCTGCGCAGACGTGGGTTGCGTTCTTTTCAGGTTGCGAACGAGACTCTGGAACGGATCCTGTTCGCAACCAGAGGTACCACTGTAATAATAAAAAACCAAACGACGTTTTTCAGCCTCCAGCTGTTGATCTGGCTGCAGCCAAGAGGAAATGAATAAGATATTTATGGAGGAGTTTGAGGCCAGGGAAAACAAGAGAAGGGGCTACTTTGTGGGTGGCCCAGTTCTTGATTTTAGAAATGCGATCAAAGATTGCATCGCCAACACTGTAGCGACCTAGAGGCAAAACCACCGCATGTGGGTGCATAACTTATTTACTTATTACCCTGCCATTCACGCTAAGGTGCCAGGGTGGGTTACAGCATTACAAACAGTATTTTTAATTTTTCCCCCCCAACAGCTCTTCAATCTCTGGTTTCTCACTGAGCCTTAACATCTGTCTGTTTTTCCTGCAGGCAGAAGCCAGTTGGTTGCTAGCTGGAATCGTCCGCACCTGCTTGCGAAAATACCTTTGCTCCACGCAGAAGAACTCCATCCCTTTGCAAGCCTCCGAGCCGGACAGCTCTTGGCTTTAACAAGAGAGAAATTGGCGGGAGAATATATTTACGGCGATCTCGGAAGCCGCCTTGGTGTACAGAGCGAAGATGGAGGAGCGAACCGCAGCTGGCCCTGACGCTGTTGAGATTGGGAGCCGTGCGACGTACGGGGAAAAGTCTGTCCCAGAGATCCCGGGGGTGGACGATGCCAGCTCTGATGACCAACGCCAGCGCTTCAGAGGGTTACTCTACCAGGAGGCCAAGGGACCCCGAGAGGTTTGCAGCCGACTCCACAGTCTCTGCCGTCGGTGGCTGAAGCCGGAAAGGCTCACCAAGGCCCAGATGCTGGACCTGGTGATCCTGGAGCAGTTCCTGGCTGTCCTCCCCCCGGAGATGGAGAGCTGGGTCAGGGAGTGCGGAGCCGGAGACCAGCTCCCAGGCGGTGGCCCTGGCAGAAGGCTTCCTCCTGAGCCAGGTGGAGGGAAGAAGCAGGGAGAGGAGAAACAAGTGAGAAAATATTTCCATCTCTTTTTTTATTAACATATAAAACACAGACATATACATTTACACAATACACGTACACAACACACTATCTAATTTTCCTAATATAAAACATACCTACATAACCCTATATAATACCTACCTATACTATACATATCAACATACCTACACACCTACCCCACACGGACACCCACCAAGTGACTTGACTTCCACCCATTCTTGTTACGCTACTTTATTTTTCCAGCTAGCTTAAACACGTTTCATTATTTCTTTAATCTCTTCTTTTATCTTAACTTTACTCTCCTTTCGCTCTAATCATTTTCTGGATTCACTCAGTATCTGTCAGAAATTCTAATTTTTCCACATAAATTTTGATGTATTCCTTAAAGATTGTTGTTGTTGTTTAGTCGTTTAGTCGTGTCCGTCTCTTCGTGACCCCTGGACCAGAGCATGCCAGGCACCTCTGTCCTCCACTGCCTCCTGAAGTTTGGTCAGACTCATGTTTGTAGCTTCGAGAACACTGTCAACCTTCGGCAATCAACCTTCTTTATGGTCCAGCTCTCACTTCCATCCATCCTTAAAGATAGCCCACTCCTTATTCACTTTTTGTACCATATCTCCTCTTATCCTCCCTGTTAGTTCGGCAATATGGAAGTATTCCATCATTTTAGATAACCAGTTTGTTTTAGTTGGGACGCTGCTGCTTTTCCAATTTTTGGCAATCAGTAACCTTCCCCAGTGTCACAAAACATTTGCTAAAAGAAAGGTGGCAGAGCAGTCTATCGTCACATCTCTAGGTCTCCACTTTAGCTAATGGGGCCTCCTGCTGCCGCCACACAATTTCTGTTCTCATCCTGAAGCAAAGTTCTTAACCTGAAGCACTATTTCTGGGTTACTGGAGTCTGTAACCTGAAGCGTATGTATACTGAAACGTATGTAACCCAAGGTACCACTGTAATTTCATTATCTGCCTATGTATTTCTAATAGTATAACCAAATCAGTAATTTTTGATATAACTGTAAAAGCTACTAGTGATTTAAATCATGATATAAATCGTGATTTAAATCATGATATAAATCGTGATTTAAATCATGATATAAATCGTGATTTAAATCAATTTGATTTAAATCAAATCCGCCCTGGTGGCAGGTGGGCCATTCTCTGCTTCCTGTGTTCCTGTTCCATCGCCACTGAGTCCTGCAGAGTTTTGCAGAGCTGGAAGAAGAAGATGGTGAAAATCCATCCCAGTCCCCTAGTTTTCTTCCCTGCTCCCTGAATAAAATCTTGGTTGCTGTTTCAGGTGCCGCGGTCCCTCCCACAAGCGGTTGCTGATTCCCTCGAGTCAGAAAAGGACATTCCTAATGCCTGCAAGAAGTCACTCTGTTTGGGAATCACGCCAGAGATTCGGACTCAAGACGTGTCGCTGGGTAAGGGAGGCTTTCCCGTTCCTTGAGTTTCTGGGTGCTATGACGTTCTCCAGGAAAAAGTCTAGGTCTCCTTCTTCCTTTTTGTGGAAGCCTGTAATTAATGAGTTGCTGATCTTGCCTGTGGGGGGTGCCTGTCCATCTCTGAGTGTGGGTCCTACCCCCACAACTCCCAGAGCTTATTCCTCTCTCAGCCTGAGGGTTGAATTCACCATAACTGTAAGCTGGGTTTGACTGCACGGAGCAAGTTCCGTTTGCACGACAGGATTAAATCTGTTTGGAGTTTTCTCTTAACTCTCCAGAACAGATTTAGCAGGCTTTGGGGAGAGGGAAAAATCCCACTGCAATAGTAGATCTTGTTCTGTACACACAATGGAGTCGAATCCCATCTTGTCTCCTGTTTTAATTAATGTACAGTCATACCTCAGGTTACAGACGCTTCAGGTTGCGCGTTTTCGGGTTGCGCACCACACCGAACCTGGAAGTACCAGAACAGGTTACTTCCGGGTTTCGGCAGAAGCACTAAATTGCGCTTTGTGCATGCGCAGAAGTGCCGAATCATGTGGTGCTGTGGGTTCCGAACGTGCCTACACGGATCATGTTCGCAACCCGAGCGTCCACTGTATTGATTCAATGTAATTGTTTTACCACGCATTTCAGTTATGTTTATATTTTAATTTTAACATTTTCCTCCTCCTTCTCTCCTCTTCTCCCTCCTCTCTCTTTTTAAAACTGATCTATGGGGAATCTGAAAGTGGCAAATTAAATGACTTGGTGATCATAATGTTTTATTGTTGTTGATGATTATTTATGTCCCTCTATATTATCTTGTTGGGGACGCGGGTGGCGCTGTGGGTAAAAGCCTCAGCGCCTAGGACTTGCCGATCAGAAGGTCGGCGGTTCGAATCCCCGTGGTGGGGTGTGCTCCTGTCGCTCGGTCCCAGCGCCTGCCAACCTAGCAGTTCGAAAGCACCCCTGGGTGCAAGTAGATAAATAGGGACCACTTACTAGCGGGAAGGTAAACGGCATTCCGTGTGCTGCGCTGGCTTGCCAGATGCAGCTTGTCACGCTGGCCACGTGACCCGGAAGTGTCTGCGGACAGCGCTGGCTCCCGGCCTCTTGAGTGAGCTGGGCGCACAACCCCAGAGTCTGTGAGAAGTCAGGTTACAGGGAACCAGACAGAGGGCCTTCTTGGTAGTGGCACCCACCCTGTGGAACGCCCTCCCTTCAGATGTGAAGGAAATAAACAGCTATTATCTTTAAAAGACATCTGAAGGCAGCCCTGTTTAGGGAAGTTTTTAATATTTAATGCTGTATTGTTTTTGACACTCGATTGGGAGCCGCCCAGATGGGTGGGGTATTAATTATTATTATTATTATTATTATTATTATTATTATTATTATTATTAGCACTGGTTTTCTAAAAGCAAAAACAACACCTGTTTTCGCCATCTTCTGTAGCAGGCAATGGCGTGTTGTCCTTGACCCTCCCCGAATCATCCCTCACTTGTGACAGAGCAACAGCAACAGCTTCTGCACAGTCAACTCGGGTAAGGACCGCCAGAAAAATATGTACACAGGATGGTTGGGGAGCCTCCACATTCCATATATTCACAGAAGTGTAGAGATGGAAGGGACCACATGAGGGTTAGCTAGTCCAGGAATCACACCCGAAGAATCCCTGACAGATGGCCACCTGACTTCCAATGAAGCAGTCCATCACCTTCTGAGAGGGTCTGTTCCACTTGTGAAGCAGCTCTTATCGTCAGAAAATTCTTCCTAATGCTTAGTCTAAGTGCATACAGTCGTAGCTGGGTTTTCGAACACCTTAGTTTGGGCCCCCAAACAGAAATGACTGTTTCGGTTTGCGAACTATTTTTGGAAGCCGAACGTCCGACAGGGCTCCCTGCAGCCAATCAGAAGCCGTGTTTTGGTTTCTGAACGTTTTGAAAGTCGAAGGACTTTCGGAACAGATTCTGTTCTACTTCCAAGGTACGACTGTATATCGGGTGCCTTTCGTATGTTGATAGAGATGTTAAACCCATCAAACGACACACAACAGAGGCTGCGAGCTCTGCTTATTTTGCTTAGGCAAAAGTTTGGCTCCAAAGGGGTGGTGGAGGTGGTTTGGAAGGGGATGCTCATTTCTTGCAAATCGGAAATCTTGCAGAATCTGTTAGTCAAATTTTCGTTTGTATGCCGCCTTTCCAAAGTTAAAAGCGTGCTCAAGGCGGCTTACAACATATAAAAAAATTAGATAACTACAAGCACAACAAAAGTGGTCACAAACAATTAGCGAAGCATCAAAAAGCACACGACCCAATTGAACAATTTCCACATAAATAATAATATCCAAAATAAAGGTGCAAAAAATGAACAGTGACAACAGCAACAACCATTCCCACAACAACCGCTCTCCGCTAAAAATACCCTAGCCCAAGCTATATATGTATAAATGTAAGATACATATAACTTGAAGGACGTGGCATTTTCTTCCCCATTCAGGGTCCCATGGCCTTTGAGGAAGTGGCTGTGTGTTTTACCGAGGAGGAGTGGGCTCTGCTGGATCCGGGCCAAAGGGCTCTGCACGGGGAGGTGCAACTGGAGAATTACTGGAACGTGGCCTCTCTGGGTAAGGGCCACACTTTGTTAAGTCCCATCCATTTTTTACAATACAATACAACTTTTAAAAATGCTGTCACAAAATATACAGTGAATCTTGAAAATATTCCTCTCAGGTGTCAAAGGCCAGGTTAAAGAGGTTTGTCTAAAGCATATATACAGTGGTAACTTGGTTCTCGAACTTAATACGTTCCGGGAGTCTGTTCAACCCCCAAAACCGTTTGACAACCAAGGCGTGGCTTCCGATTGGCTGCAGGAGCTTCCTGCACTCAAGCGGAAGCCACGTCAGACTTTTGGCTTCCGAAAAACGTTCGCAAACCAGAACACTTACTTTGGGTTTGCGGTGTTTGGGAGCCAATTTGTTCGGGAGCCAAGCCATTTGAGTACCAAGGTACCACTGTAATGAAGTTGCCAGACACACTTCTGTAAGGAGGGAGTTCTACAGCTTATTGTCTGCCACCATCACTATCCTGAGCTTCGGGGGGTGGGTCTGGGCTTCTTGGAGGTCTGTAGGAAAGGAGGCAGTTTTTCATATATTTGGGGCCTGAATGATTTATGGCTTTAAACACAAGCATGAGTACCTTGAATTGGGCCTGGGAATTAACCCGTTGCCTGGTACCCAGTGCAGCTTGGAACTGTAAGTAAAGCATTTTAAACTTACTTAGCAGTGTGTGGTCTGTTCATTGCAAAAGGGGTAGATCAACTTACATGCAGCTGAGATGGGATAAAAAAATGCAGCTCTTTGAAAACATGTGTTATATGAGATTTAAATGGAACCCCAGACAGTAATTTGGCCGCTGCAGTTTGGACCAGTTGAAGTTTCTAAGTCATCTTCAAGTGCAGCCCCAATCAAATCTGAAAGGCACAGTCTAGGAACTTCTGTTGGATGTGTAGAGCAGTTATAAGTCTTTGGAAAGAATGTGGAAGCAGAACCACACCTGTACGACGTCTTCTCTGCAGCAGTATATTTGGCATGATGGGTGATTAAAAAAATACTTCCTCCTTGTTCCCCTGCTTTGTCCTCTAACCAAGTTTCTCTCTCTGTATTCCAGAAGGTGATGAGTGGGAGCGTAAGACTGATGAAGGGACATATGGAGAGTCGTCGGAAAGGAACAAGAATCTAGAAATGGAAGAGGAGATTGGAGATCAAGTTGAGCCAGAAAAGCAGGAAGGAAATCAAACGGAGATGTGGATGAATGAATCTGTTACGTGGCAGGGTGACAATTTCCCCGAAATCTTAGTTCAGCAGGGAAAACAGAAAGGGCAAAGAAAAAATGTCTGCCCAGTATGTGGGAAAAGCTTCAATCGCAAGTCAGACCTTAACGTTCATTGGAGAATCCACACAGGAGAGAAGCCATACAAATGTCTGGAGTGTGGAAAGAGTTTCCGGCAGCTAGCAAGCTTCTCGTCACATCAAAGAATTCATACGGGAGAAAGACCGTATAAGTGTTCCGAGTGTGGAAAGGGATTTTACGACAAATCGAGCCTGGTCATCCACCAAAGAATCCACACAGGGGAGAAACCATATCAGTGCTTGGTATGTGGAAAAGGCTTCCATCAAAGCTTCGGCCTGACTTCCCACCAAAGAATCCACACTGGGGAGAAACCGTACGTTTGCTCGGAATGCGGGAAGAGCTTCTACGATAAGCCACACCTTACTAGACACCAAAGAATCCACACGGGGGAGAAACCATATACTTGCACGGAATGTGGAAAGAGCTTCAGCCAAATCACGAGCTTCACTTCCCACCAGAGAATCCACACCGGGGAGAGACCCTTCATGTGCTCGCACTGCGGGAAGAGCTTTTACGACAAGTCCAACCTTCTCACACACCAAAGAATCCACACTGGAGAGAGACGATATGAGTGTCAGGAGTGTGGGAAGACCTTCAGTCAGAAAAAGAGCCTCACCTCTCATCAAAGCATACACACAGGAGAGAAACCGTATCAGTGCCCAGAGTGCGGGAAGTATTTCAGGCAGCAAACGGACCTTACTTCACACCAGAGAATCCACACTGGGGTGAGACCTTTCCAGTGTCTGGAATGTGGGAAGAGGTTTTACAGAAAAGCGGATCTAAACAGACACCAAAAAGTTCATGCTGGGGTTGGGAGACCCATAATTGCTTGGAGCGTTGAAATGGCTTCAGATGGCGTATCCATCTTATGCCCTCTAGGGGAATTCACAGAGGAAAGCCAGTGTATGGCTTCTGAGATTAAGCAAGAACCCTGTTGCTAGCACAGCCCTTATTAGCCATCAGAGAACCCACACAGGGAATTCAACTCCTCTGCCCCAAATGAATACTTGGGAGTGTTGGGGAGCATAAAAGAAGCTTTCGGAGAATTGAAAAAGCTTGCTGACTTGTTTTGTGACATTTCAGTTGGCCCAAAGAAAGGTTTTGCCTTACTGTGGACTTCTCATTTTGTACTTCCATTTTTTGCACTTAAGATTTCTGTAAAAAAAAAAAAAAAGTTTTCATACTATTCTGAACAAACAAATGAAGAAGAAGAAGAAGAAGAGTTTGGATTTGATATCCCGCCTTTCACTCCCCTTCAGGAGTCTCAAAGCGGCTAACATTCTCCTTTCCCTTCCTCCCCCACAACAAACACTCTGTGAGGTGAGTGGGGCTGAGAGACTTCAAAGAAATGTGACTGGCCCAAGGTCACCCAGCAGCTGCATTTGGAGGAGCGGAGACGCGAACCCGGTTCCCCAGATTACGTGACTACCGCTCTTAACCACTACACCACACTGAAAGCTTCAAGTCTTGCAGATGCAAGAGTTAACCATGATACAGATTGTGAAACTGGTTTTGGACCATGGTTAATGTTGGACCAGCTTCTCATATGAGCATGCTTGGAGATCAAGGTCATCTACGTAGGCCCTCTTGTCAATTCCAAACCTACGCCTGGGGAGGGGCCTTCCTCTGTCGCCACACCCTTCCCATGGAGATTTCACAGAACTGTAGAGTTTGAAGGGACCGCGGGGACCACCTAGTCCAACCCCCTGCAGAGCAGGAATGTTTTTGCCCAACCTGGGACTTGAACCCTTGACCCTTAGATTAAGAGTCTCATGCTGTACCAACTGAGCTATCCAAGGTGATTTGTCCCTCCTCTCTCATTCATGGCCTTTCATTGCAGTGTTAAGACCAGCCTTATGTTTAAGCATTAGCCTGATAGCTTTAGGAGACAAGGAATTGTGGGCAGGCAAGTGAGGGGGACAGTATTCTGTACCCACTCTGAGTTCAGCACAAAAGGCAAGTGGGTTGTCAGAGGAGGGATGGGGTTTTCCGGCACTATTTCCAGCCCAGCATGAGGGTAAGGAAAGAATAATGGCAGGCCAGTAATTTTTGTGAACTTATTTATAAGGCCGGTTTATTTTAGGGAGGTCTTCAGCGTTTGGAGGTTGGATTTGATTGATTGATTTGCCATAATTGATATATAATCTTTGTGGGATATTTTCAGTGTTCCTTCCTTCTTTTTCTTTTAGGTATTGCATGGCCATGATTGCATAAGTAACATACATATTTGGTTTACACGCCTTGTATTTTCACAAAGCATCTTCAATGCAGCATTTTTTTAATCTCTCTGATTAGGATGGGGTGGGAGAGGAGGCAAAATGGAAGGTTTGTAAGGTTTGTTTTTGTACCTTTCTGCTTTCTGTTTGGTGCTGCCTTCTCCTTTTTTTGTGTAATCAATTTATATTGAAAGTTTTCAACATCAAATGCAATAAAAGCCTAATAATAATAATAATAATAATAATAATAATAATAATAATATATTATTATTTATATACCACCCATCTGGCTGGATTTCCCCAGCCACTCAGGGCGGCTCCCAACAGAATCTTAAAAACATGATAAAACATCAATAAAAGCTTCGCTAAACAGGGCTGCCTTCAGATGTCTTCTACAAGTCAGATACAGCGGAACCTTGGTTGTCGAACGCTTCAAAGCTGAACAATTTGGAACCTGAACGCTGACAATCCAGAAGTGAATGCTTCCGTTTTCGAATGATTTTCAGAAGCCGTACAGCTTCCAAGCCACATTTTTCATTTTCCCCCATTGACTTTGCAGCCAGCCCATTGATCCTCAGTTTTTGAACTTTTTGGAAGTTGAACGATCTTACGGAATAGATTTAAGTTCAAAAACCGAGGTTCCACTGTAGTTGTTTATTTTCTTGATATCTGATGGGAGGGCAGGCGCCACCACCGAGAAGGCCCTCTGCCTGGTTCCCTGTATTCTCACTTCTCTCAGTGAGGGAACTGCCAGAAGGCCCTCGGAGCTGGACCTCAGTGTCCAGGCTGAAGCTAATATAAAAAAGGGAAAAGAGCAAGAATAACAAAAGCAAGACAATAAAGATGGAAAAGAAGGAAAAGGGGATATAAAGCCCTCTATTAAAATGATTTTCATCCTTATTCCACACAAAGAAGAGTTCTGAACCCTCTCAGCTCTCACAAAGAATCATAAAGTTGGAAGGGACCCTGAGGGTCATCTAGTCCAACCCCCTGCAATGCAGGAATACACAGCTGTCCCGGACGGGGATCGAACCTGCAACCTTGGCATTATCAGCATCACGCTCTAATCAACTGAGCTACCCAGGCTCCCTCTATAACTGATACGTAACCTTTGTGGGATATTTTCACTGTTGCTTCCCCTCACCCCCAAATCGCTCTATTTCTGGCTTGTAGATTTTGTTCTCTTCCTTTTGAAATACTTCTCGTTTGTGCTCGCATATGTTGTTGCTTTTAATTGCATATTATTATTATTATTAGCATCATCATCATCATTTTCCTTAGCAGCATTGAACTATATATGGAAAGGAAAGGCATAAGCATTGAAAGCAAATCAATAAAGGATAACTTATGGACACATGAGTTTTTTACTGTGTGAGAAGGGATTATCTGATGCCCTGAAGGCTCTTTGGGCTTTCTTGGGACACCTGGAATGGTTCAGAGGACGGCCCGCTCCTGAGGGATTTAGGCTCTGCAAGGTAGCGACTCTGCAACACCTATTGGCTGCTGGAGCACAGCTGCTCTGTCGAAACGCATTCATCACCAAATGGCTATAGGCGGTCTAGTACTATCACATCTAATGCGGGGATCCCAGCAGAAGTCTCTCCCAGCTCTCCCTGGGATTGAACCTGAGATCTTCTGCTTGCAGTGCAAATCTCTCTCTCTCTCTCTTCTCTCTTTGGCAATCACTCATAGCGAGTAAGATTGTCTTCCATAAACACAGTTTTAATAGTGAGTCCGTAAGTGACTGTGGAGGTCAATTCTGGATCTACACGTCCTTCCACAGTGGGGACATAGGTTCCCGGGTGGAAGTTGATCATGGTGTGGATTTGCCAAGCGTGCCTTCCTCTTAGCACGTTTCTCCCTTGAATCCTGAGTTTGAGTGTCTTCAAAGTCCACGACACCTTTGGTAAAGGCTGTTCTCCAACTGGAGCGCTCACAAGCCAGTGTTTCCCAATTGCTGGTGTTTATACTACATTTTTAAAAGATTTGCCTTGAGAGAGTCTTTAAACCTCTCTTGTTGACCACCAAGCATTATGCTTTCCATTTTTAAGTTCGGAATAGAGTAGCTGCTTTGGAAGACGATAATCAGGCATCTGCACAACACGATGCTGCTCTGCAGCATCTCCTTAACTCTAATTCCCCTTGCTGAGGTCCCCTCACAAATGCTCTACCCCTGAGCTATGGCCTTTCCTCTTGCAGATCTGTTTTCCTCCAGCTCTGCACCTGCTCCTTGAGCCACCCTGTACAGGGTGGAGGTGATGCTTCACCTCCTAATTATAGGAATCATAGTGATTTAGTTCTCTTTTTTTCTTGCCCCCAAACTCAAGGGACCGACCCCCCAAGCATCACCTTATTTTTGTTATTCTGCAAATGACCGAAATCTCAGAATGGAGAGATGCACGAGGCAACTTAATGCAACAAGAAATGCCTACTTAAATACCTCCTGAGAAACCAAACGCTTTGAGGCAGGCACGGGCTCTGCCAGTGTGAAGACACTGTATCCTCCCTCTGCTCTTAATGTCACCGGGGGCTTCGTCCTGCTTCTAATTTGCTGCTTACTATGCTGAGAGCGGGACACGGGTGGCGCTGCGGGTAAAAGCCTCAGCGCCTAGGGCTTGCCGATTGAAAGGTCGGCGGTTCGAATCCCCGCGGCGGGGTGCGCTCCCGTCGCTCGGTCCCAGCGCCTGCCAACCTAGCAGTTCGAAAGCACCCCTGGGTGCAAGTAGATAAATAGGGACCGCTTACTAGCGGGAAGGTAAACGGCGTTTCCGTGTGCGGCTCTGGCTCGCCAGATGCAGCTTTGTCACGCTGGCCACGTGACCCAGAAGTGTCTGCGGACAGCGCTGGCCCCCGGCCTCTTGAGTGAGATGGGCGCACAACCCTAGAGTCTGTCAAGACTGGCCTGTACAGGCAGGGGTACCTTTACCTTTACCTTTTTATGCTGAGAGCAGCCACAACAGAGGCAATGAGAGCCAGCAGACCCAGAGTGATGCTGTTGCTGCTGCTGTTGCTGCTGCTGCTGCGATTTGTAGGCTCTGGAATACCAAAGGCGAAATGCCCCTTGAACATGGAGAGGGATGTTCCAGATGCGTTGAATTATTACATGCCAGGAGACCACCTCGTAAGTGGGGTCATTTCTACAACACACGTTTTCCATGCAGCCAACAGTTTCCGCGAAGCACCCCAAATGGTGCTCTTTGGGTAAGCACTTCTGTGGCAATTGGTTTCATGCTATTGTACTCAGCTATGATTTTCCCCACTCCAGGAATCCTTATTTGCCAGGGACAAGTCCTGCTTTCTGGAAGTGTCCGTCCGTGGAGATGCAAAAAGCCAATGGATGTCGCTTCCATCCTTTGTCTTCCCACCTGCAAGAAGCAAAACAGCAACCCATTAAGTTGCTAACATATTGAAGCTGAATCCTAAAATAAGTGGGCTACGTGTTCCCAGTTCTGGATTTCGGAGGTGGGCAGGTGGCCTGATGTGGGTGGGATTGGGCTCCTTTGCAAGTCCATAACTTGTTGGTTCTCCTGGATCCAACATTGTTAGTGACCAGGATGGCAATATTTTACCTCCACTGTCAAGGCAGCATTTCCCTGTATACCAGTTGCTGTGAATCGCAGGTGGGCTGTTGCGCTTTTTCATGGATGGGGTTCCGCTTAGAATTCATATAATCCCCGTGTTCAAACATATGCCAGTTTGTTTGCAGACACAACTCAGGGTGTCAGGGATGAAACTAGGCTTTCTTTCACCTGGGTCAAAGACTTAGTTTGGCACACACACATGCAATAATAATAATAATAATAATAATAATAATAATAATAATAATAATGATGATGATGATGATGATGATGTAAACTGATAATGATCAGGCACATACCAGAGAGTAAGTCCAGAGTAAGTCTGGCACATACCAGAGAGTAAAAATGCCTAAGATTGCAGTATACGACTGCAGTATTTTTACACAGTTACCTGGGAGTAAGCGCCATCGA